CCCTTGGGGACAATGGGAGGCGCGGGGGGGCCCGGCAGGGGCAACGGGGACCCCTTGGGAATGCAGGGGACCCCCGGGGACGAGGGGGCGCCGCTGGGGTGGGCGCGCGCTGAGCGGCGCCCYGTGCCCGCAGGAGTCGGGCGATGACGAGTACCGGGGCGAGCAGTCGGAGAGCGACGACGAGGTCGACTCGGACTTCGACATCGACGAGGGCGACGAGCCGGGCAGCGAGGCGGACGAGAGCGAGCCCCGGCCGCGGCGCCGCGGCCTCCCCAGGGCCTACCGGGTGCGGGCGCCGCCTCCTTCCCGCCCCGGCAACGCGGCATGATTCCCGGGATCGCCCGGGATAAATGGGGCTTGGGAATGGGGGTGGATGCGCGGGGACGTGTCCCCCCGGGGCTGTTGGTGCTGCAGTGAATGCTGCTCTGTGGCCCCACCTTGGGTTGTTCCTTGGGGGGCCGCGGCAGGGCGCGGAGCTCCCTCCTTTCCCGTAGGAGCCCATCAAGACGCTGCGATCCAAGAAGCCGGACGCTCCCAGCGGCTCGCAGCGGGCCAAGCCCACCCCGTCGGAGCTGCAGGATGAAGTGGTAGACAGCGAATGTAGGTGGGGGGATGCAGCCGGCGGGGAGGGGGGGCGATGCAGCCCCCCGGCGCTGACGCCGTCCCGCCGCAGGCCGCAAGCACATGCGGCAGTCGACGACGGAGCACACGCGGCAGACCTTCCTGCGGCTGCAGGAGCGCCAGGTGCAGTCCAAGCGCAAGAAGGGCGGCCCCAACCACGAGCGGCCGCTCACGCAGGAGGAGCTGCTGGAGGAGGCCAAGATCACGGAGGAGATCAACCTGCGCTCGCTGGGTGAGCGGCGGCGGYGGCGGCGCCGGGGGGCGGCCCGGACCCCCCCGTTTATCCCCTGCTTGCTCCCGCAGAGAACTACGAGCGCCTGGAGGCCGACAAGAAGAAGCAGGTTCACAAGAAGCGCAAGTGCGTGGGGCCCGTCATCCGCTACTGGTCYGTCACCATGCCGCTCGTCACGGAGCTGGGCAAGGAGGAGAACGTGGACGTGGAGGGGTGGGTTCAGCAACGGGGGGCTGCTCTGGTGCCGGGGGTCACCCCCGCGGCCCTACCCGGTGTGGGATCCCCTGCAGGGGGGGCTGGAGTCACCCCGGTTTTCCCCATGCTGAGCCCGTTCTGGTCGTTCCAGGCTGGATCAGGAGGCGCAGCAGGCGGAGGCGCCCGCGGCCGCGGCGGGCAAGTGCTCGCGCACCTTCATCACCTTCAGCGACGACGAGACCTTCGAGCGCTTCTTCCCCAAGGCGAAGCCGCCGCGCGTGCCCGTGCGCGAGCTCTGCCCCGTGACGCACAAGCCCGCCGTCTACCGCGACCCCGTCACCGACATCCCCTACTCCAACATCCGCGCCTTCAAGATCATCCGCGAGGCCTACAAGAAGTACATCACGGCGCACGGGCTGCCCGGCGCCGCCACGGCCGCCGCCGCC